TTTCCATTTAACTAAGGCTGTAGAGGAGATATCTGCCTGTCAGGGACAAAAGACGGGAAGCGAGACTCCTAAAATCTGGCTCATCTTAAATGGCACTTCTTGCTTTTTGAGGAGACCAATTTTTTTTTTATAAAATTTAATTCTATGCTAAAATGCTGTCTAGGGGAACATGGTTCTTCCTTTCCATGTTACTTTGACAGTGTCTATAGCAGATGAGTAGAAACAGTAGGGAAAATGTTTGGGGGAGGTTGGTTTGTCCCAAAGGCTGCATGAATAAAGCTCTAATAAATCAGAACAGTATATCCACATTAAAAAGCAGACACATAGATATACGTGCACAAGTAATTAAATTTTTATTTTACAGTATGATGGTATGAACACATAGTATAAGATACAATCAGTTGTTGCTCTTTACAGCAGTACATCAACCAAACTATTCCTCTGTATTTAATTACATAATGGGTGTTCAGCTGTTCCAATGGATCGCCTGTGCATGTATGCCGGGCATATGGGCATCTAACATATACTTGTTCTTGCCCTTCCCATTTCTTTTTACTCAAACTTTGATTACTTCCCTCAGTGATAATATGAATGTTGCGGGGTAAAGATGAATGATCATTTCAAAGTGGTGGATTTCATGAGGGAGTTGCAAATAGGGCATGGATTTGGCTCTAACATTTATTTGACATATTTTGCCTTAGTTAATTACAGGTATCTGACATTTTTGAGAATCTTCATGCCAGTTTACTAACTATTCATGATCTAATTTTAAGGTTTGCATTACCTATAAAGATATAAATAAATAAACCAACCTCTATTTTAGTATTTTACTAGCTCAATATTTTATTTATCTTATATTCCAGCATCTGACCTACTTAGTTGTCTAGCAATTTAAGCATTTTAGTACCTGCATTTATACTCTATTTTAGTTCAACCCTACTTTAGAACCTTACTTTAGAATCTAACTTTCTTTAGAAATTTTCCTTTTATTGTCTTACGACCTCTGCAACTTTTTAGGAAATGATGTTCTATCTAATAACAATTCTTTGAAACAGTTTACTTCATTTCTTCCTACCTTTTTCTTTAAGTTCTCTTACTTTTACAGTCCCTTCTAAGAAAGGGAGTGCCCAGTTCCCTCTTTCCTTGCATCGGAGCAGAATCACAG